GAGGCTGTCTAAGAAAACGGGCAAAACCCAGAAGGCTTTGCTCAGCTCTAAGCTGGGAAGATGTCTCAGATCTCAAGCAAGAAAAGAGGCAACTGGAGTTTCTATTTAAAACCATCCTAACCAAAAAACAAAAAATGCAAAAATTCAGGTAACCATCCAACAGGAAAGAAGGGGAAAAAAAATATTCAGCCCCAAACAATAAGACTCTGATTAGTGTCTGCTTGGATGGTTAGAGATAGCAAGGGCAGTGAGGAGCAGAGCCCAGCCATGCCGCACAGTCACCCCAGGGATGCAGCTCACCGGCATCCCATCCTCATCACCATCCCAGACCCTGCGCACTGCCCGGACGTCCCCACTGGCAGGGTACCAGCAGCCTCCTTCCTCTGCTGCCCATTCGCCGACCAGCTCTTCCCCCCCGCCCGCTCACTGCCCATCAGTTCTCGCCCGCCTGGACATACTCCTCAGTGGCCTTGGAGATGGTGCTCAGGTACTGCCAGCTCAGAGCAGCCAGGAGCATGGCGCATGACAGGTAGATGGGGGAGTAGTGGTGACGTGATGCCATGGGGCTGCCGGGCAAGCTCATGGCACGGATGGAGGCGATGATCTGCTGCGTCTTGTTGGATGATGGGTCCGTGCTTGGGATCTTCTGGTAGATCTGGGGAGGGAGGAAGGAGGAGTTATGGTTCCCAGACAAGGCTGAGGAGACAAATGGGACCACCAGGTGGAAGAGGAAGCCTGAAGAGCCACCGTGGCCTCAAGGGCAACCTCAGTGGTGGATTGCCATGGAGCAGGGACCAGCTGCAAGGGATGCCAGCTGATGGTTCAGCCTGGAGAAGAGAAGGCTCCAGGGAGACCTTCTAGCAGCCTTCTAATACTTAAAGGGGACCTACAAGAAAGCTGGAGAGGGACTTTTTACAAAGTATGTAGTGATAGGGCAAGGAGCAATGGATTTAAACTGAAAGAGGGAAGATTTCAATTAGATCTAAGGAAGAAATTTTTCCTTCTGAGGGTGGTGAGACACTGGAACAGGTTCCCCAAAGAAGCTGTAACTGCCCCATCCCTGGAAGTGTTCAAGGCCAGGCTGGATGAGGCTTTGAGCAACCTGGTGTAGTGGAAGTTGTCCTTGCCCTTGGCAGGGGGTTGGAACTCCCTGCCTCCCTTGGCAGGGAGTTGGATCTCGAAGGTCCCTTCCAACCCCAACCATCCCATGATTCTGTGGGGCCAGGACCCATTTCCCTTGAGAGGTGCACTAAGCCAAGCAGCCTCTTGAGGGCACCCCATGACGGGAGATGGACCACATGGCCTCAGACACAGTCCCTCGACCACACGTGGAGCTGCTGGGGGTTCTTGCCCCGCAATTCTCACTCACTGCTGGTGTGCTGCAGCTCACCCCAAACCAGTGAGGACACCCCAGTGTGACCAGCAGCCGGTGAGACTGCCAGGAAACGGCCATCTCCATCAGATAACCCCATGGTCTTGAGGGTTTTCTCTTTGTGGTCTGCAAACCCCACGGCCTTTGAGATGCTCGGTCTGCATGAGTCCCGGGGAGCTGTGCACAAGCAGAGACCCTTCTGGGCTAAGGTGCTGAGGTGTCACTGTCCCTAGCCATAGGGTTGGCCAGCCCACAAAGGGAGCTCTAATAACCCATGGTTTGGGGTCTCCCTGGTAATGTCTTTGTATTTAACAGCCCTCACCAGATTCTGTTTTTTGAAACCATCCACGATCCTCATAATGCTGCTAGCTGCAACTACTGACATGGAGAAAACAAGACTGTTCACTGGAGCAGCCCATGGGGAGAGGATGCAATCTGTCCAGAAGCGTGTTGTAGGAAAGGTCCTCTGTGCCTGCTCAGCCCAGGTGAAGCCCTGCACTGTGACAGCTAACTCTTCTGGTTCTCCACCAGAAATATGGCAGGACTTCTGTTTGTACCTCTCAAGGCAGCCACAGACCAAGGATACATTCAAAGCAATACATCAAGGACCCAGTTTGGTCCAGGCCAACACCACATCAAGGTCACTATGCCCTGCCACTGCTGAACTGACTTACATCTCCTAAGGAAAGGATTCACATGTCTTCCCAGTTCCACACCAGGAATGAAGATGGGAACAGCCAAAAATTACTTGAAGCAAGTTGCTCAACCTACCTCTTCCACATACTGGTACATGATGGCTTTGACAGCTTGTATGTTTGTGGCATCCATCATAAGCGTGACGGCTTGTCCCTTCCGGATCTTCACTACACCCCTGAACACCTGCTTGTTGTTATAGCAGGCGGCCAACGTGGCAATAGCCATCACCTAAGGAGAAACATCAAGAGCCCTTACTGCATTGCGAGGAGCTTGCCCAGGGACTAACCCTGGCCCTGGGGAAATCGATAGCAAGAGGCTCTGGAGTGGAGCCACAATCTCATCCACAGCAGAAACAGTGGGTATCAGGAAAGAAGGAAGAGATAGAAGAGATGGAGAATAAAACAGGCTAATACTGACATGAGACATAACCTCCTTCAGCTCCAAGTTATCAGCCAGGCTGCAGATGATGAAGAATCACTTGAAAATGAGTAACTCACCTGGGGGATAGCGCAGAAGTTGAAGACACTTTGGTTTTTCAGGCGGGATAAGTATGTAAGGACATCAGGGACATGGTGGAGGGCATTGGTGATGAGCTCATTCAGACACTGGACAGCCATTTCAATGTTCTCTGGTTTGGCAAGATCTGAGAGCTTCTTTGCGTATCTGCTCCAAACCTAAACATCAAGATAAGGACTCATGAGTTGGAGGGTACATTCATGCCGTAAAAGAGACGTCAATAACAGCCTGACATCTGGGAGAGCAACATGAACCACCAGAGACCTATGAAAGCCTTGAAGGATTGGGGCTTACTAGGCTAAAGAAAAGAAGGAAGAGCAGGCTGCAGAGACATGACAGTGGCCTTCATATACACAAAGGGATCGTAGAGAAGGAGGATGAAACTCATCTCCACATCTTCTCTAGGCAGGGCAAGCAAAAGACTTGTCATGCATCAGGCTGACATCAAGAAATGCTCCATAAGACAGCTGAGCCACATGGAAAAAGGCGGGAAAAATTCTTGGAGGGCCTCAAGAAGAGCAGATGAGCGTCTGTCAGGCAGAGCTGATCCTGCCTTTGGGAACAGGCTAGGTACCCTCTCCAGATCTCACCTAGTCTTATCCTCCCTCCTTCCTAGAACCAACGTAACAGAGGGGAAAAAGCTGCCCAACAAGTTCTCGGCAGTGTGGGAAGACATCACCTCGTCCCCACATCTGTACCCAGCCAGCTGTAGACAGGTGTGGAACTTGTCAGCCAGCTGCCCTTAGAACTGTTATTATCAAGAAGATGTACAACTGACAGTAGCAATCTAAAGCAGCACAGATTTACTGTGGGGTCTTAATAAAATTCAAGCAGACCATCCAAGTCTCTCCTGTTAACTTTGATTTAAAAGGACATGAGAGACAATATGATTTTAGTTGTGCCCCTTCCGCTATGCACCCTGTCATGCATTCCCGAGACAGGTGTCCTGGGGATAGCACGGACGGTTGGCTCCATCCATTACAGGTCTTGGGCAGAAGGATGAAAGACTGTCAAGGGACACCAACAAATGGTGGGAAAAACCTTAGCTTTGGGGATTTCAAAGGAAATTCCAGCAGGAAGCCATCTAACAAGAAGATGCAACCTCACTGTATCGGAGCAGCAACAACAGCACCTTCAGTCTTACAGGGTTTCCCAAAGAGGCACAGCAGAAACACTCACCCCAAGGCAGCGTTTTCCCTCACCTCTCTGGGCCAGAACTCCCTTCCCTCCAGCTGGTCCTCTAGGTAGTCACGGATGATGTTGGTTTTCTGCAGGAAGAGGCCCATGGAGTTCGCCAGCTCCGTGTCTTGCCCGACGATGGGATCTTCCAGCTCTGATGCAGAGAAGAGACGGGAAAGGCCAATCCCCACCAGCCCAGCAACGTAGTGACAATACTGTGAGGCACCAAGAGGGGAAGGGGCAGGAAAAAAACAAGACGAAGGAGCAGTTACAAAGAGCTGCCTGTTTGTCACAGCAAGTTTTACAAAAATGACGCTCAAAAATGACTGACAGTAGGCCTTCTGCAAGTTCTCATGGCCCAGCCTGGGACATCTCAGCTTTCCCATGCCCTGCAAACACCTCGGCGAGGATGTCCCACCAAGGTGTCACTCTGCCTCCAGCAATCGAATGAACCACTCACATGGGAGCAGCTGATGTGATGGTCACCAGCTGTGACGGCCTGACATGATGTGATCCCCAGCTGATGTGACAACTCCCAAACATGTACTGGTGGGTGACATCAACAATCCACGCCATCCTCCTGTCCCATATGGATCCAGCAGTCTCTCAAAAGCCTTCCCAAGCCCACACAACCTCCCTCAAACAGCTGAACTCTCTTCCCATGAGGATGCTCTGTCTCCTCTTTCCCAGACACAAGGTGGACCCTACTCAAGTTCAGTCCACTCCTCTGATTGTGCTGACTCACCTTATCCCATTCATGCTGAGAGTCCACCTTCTTCTCCAAGAACTCAGCCATGCCGACACCCATCTTGTGGCAGATATCCGAAATCACGTCCTGGTAGACCTTTGACAGGTTCCTGAACTCCATGGAGATCTGCAGCACAAACCACCATGAGGGGAGAGAAGAAAAAAAAAAAAGACAGCGTCAGGAAAAAATAGCAGAGCTCAACATTTATTAAGAAAACAGCAAAAGACTGTTTACCAGGCTCTTATCCTGCCCTGGCTGGAGATCTAGGACAACTCCCACAACCAGAATTATTTCAAGGCCCGTAAAGCACAGGCTCAGTCTGTCCTCGGACTAAACGGAACGGTCTCTGGCCATAGATCAGACACAGCAATATTTCTGGGAAGGCGCTGTGGCCTTGGACTGGTATCATCTGGGAGTTGCAGGACAAAACTAGCTACGCTTGGTGCACAGAGCTGGTTTTTGGTGGTTTTTTTTTTTTATAATTTGTGAGAGCATCCCATCGCACCAACCATGGGAAAAGACAAGGGAGGTTTCTGGTGCTCTGTTCTCCTGAGCCATCTCCAGCTCTGGCTCCTCAGGGCACATTTTGCACAACTGGAAAGGCACCAATCAACAGAGAAAGTGTCAAATTCTTCTTCTACATGTCAAATAACACAATTCAGTGACTCAATTGCTCTCACGCTGAAAAAAAATAATTACAAAGTGCATCCTCCCCTTCCCAAAACTGTGGAGCATCATGTTTTATTGTGCTGCGCTTTATTCTCCATCAGCGGGTAACTACAGCCAGCCCAGGGTGTGTGTCGAGGGACCGCGGTCTGAATGACTCTAGCAGACCCCACCACAGACCCACGCTCTCCTCCTGCCTCTGTCCACGGCTGCTGGCACGTCCTTGCCCTCTGCCTCAGTCTGTCTGTAAAAATAAGTGTTATCAACTCTGCGTCTGTCTCAGTAGCTCCAATCCACTACACAGAGAAGCACGACCTGCGAGAACACCTCTACCAAATATTATTAAAATCATACCCAAATATCAACTCGGATTGCCCGAGTAACATGTACACACCAAGACAGAAAAACAAAGTGCCACTAAAAACCTTCTCAAAAGCTTTCCTAAAGTACCAAGCCATTGGCATACCTCCTGTATCACTACACATCAAGAATCCCCCAGCATACCCATCTCCTATAGCACGTGTCTCTCCCAGGTAGGGCACAGGCACTGTTATCTCAAGGCTAAGCATCAAAATTTACAACATACTTCAGTTTTCCAAACAATTATCCCATTGCCACTGCTAGGGAAAGCCTGAAAAGGGTCAAATAAATTCAGAATGGTAAAAAAACCTGAACAAAACAGAACCTCCTCAGAAAACGAAACACTCCTCACTGTAACTGTTACACTTTTTTCTTAAACAGAGCTTCAGCAAAGCCTAAAGCTTAAGAAAAGCATGGACTCGATCACCTGCATAGCTACCCCATTAGTGTGGCCACCCCCACATGCTTCTGACTCCAAGCAATCCCCAAGCAGGGCTTGGGAAGTAGCATGGACCAGAAAACACTTCTTAAGGACAGTCTGGGTTGTAACCACGTTGTTCTAGGATGCTGAGAGAGTGTAACAGCTTGGACAGGGACAGACTTTCCCAACTGGCCTCCAGGCCAGGGAACAGGCTCCAATACTGCTTAGCTTGCTTGTGGAGATGCAGGTTCTCTGTAGCTTCCTTTCAGAAGGATCCTTAGAGCAGTAAGACTTAGGGCAATATTATTACTAACAGCAAGGGTGCTTTTTATCTTATATGTGTGTCAAAGACATGCAGACAGACTCCTGTAGCTCTAGAGGAGATCCTGCAGGACTGCTGCAAACGCTGGTCTGTCCACAAGCCAGATGCCAGACACGCTTTCCTCCTCTCCCTGTCTCTTAGGGGTCACGGCACCCCCAACCCATGCAACGCACAGCGTTGGGCAACAAATCCAAATCGCTCTCTCCAAGGAGACAGTCATTTACTCTTCCAATAAGGGAGGCAAAAAGCCACTTTTTAGAGCTGGCACCAGGTTATCTCTGGCTCGTGTAGACAAGCTGCACAACATTTGGGTTTCTCACTCCAGCTCTGCATCCAGCCCCACCAAGCAGGTGATGTTGTGCTTCTGAAGAGCTAGGGGCTCACCAGGGACCAAACGAGCTCAGGTGTCACAGAGAGAGGCAACCGTGCACCCAAAGGTGACACAAAGCAGCCGAAGCAAGGAGGTGGACAACTTACTGTCGGGAAGTCCTCGAGCACCTGCCGGTCCTTCTCCTTGCTCTCCATGTATTTCCACTCTGGTTGATAGAGATAGGAGTGAAACTCGTGCAGCATCGGGACCTTTACATCTAAGCTGATGGTCATGTCATCCTCTATAGTGTCCAGGGCACGGAGAACCAGGTAGAATATACAGACAGCATGCCTGGAGAGGGGAGGAAAAAACAATCATCCTTTACTTGGCATTGCCTGTTAGGCAGGACAAACAGCTTAGATTAACCACACAGATTTCGGCAGAGGTGCTTCCAGCTCAACACGACACGCACCAGCACCACCAGGTCATTGATGCCTTTGGATTGCGTAAGATGGTACAAGCACTTCCAGCATGATTTGCTTTCACATTTCAAGCAATACGGTACTTCCGCCACCAAGCAGAAGGGCAAGTGATGATGTGAAAACCTTCCTGGCCCCCACTGTTGTTTCCCAGTGTCTCCTACAGCTTAGAAGCTGGCTTTGGTCAAGGGATGCCCATGTCCAATCCCTCCTCCATCAAATCGTAGAATCGTTAAGAATGGTTTGAGTTGGAAGGGACCTTTAAAGGTCATCGAGTCCTACTGCCCCTGCAACTAGATCCAGGGTATCGGCTTCCTCAGCTCTCATCTGGGGACAGTGGCTGTCCCCTGAAGTACAAGAATGTAAAATATATGCATTAGAAACATGCTGCTCAAATCCCAGGGTCACGGGAGCCAGTCAGGGATGGAAAGCACCAACAGCAGTGCTTCCCACCTAACTTGCTCATCATCTCCTTGAACCTCCACTCTGAGGAAGACGTGACAACACATAAACTGCCCATGGGCTGACCCCTGTGAAAGCTGCAGCATGCCTGAGCTGGGTTAGGAAACCCACGTTTTTTCCTTCATGAAGAAAATTACAGCATGGCTTTCAGCCATCCAACCCTGCAAGCAAGACCAGTGCCCACTGTGACCCAGAGGGCAGAGCCTGAGGTCAATTTATTGGAAAAAGCAAATGGAAAATAAGGAAGGGGAAAAAAGCAGGTGTACTTTTCCTATCGCTTCCCCTTCTCTGCACCCAGCACCCTTTTATCCTGTTTGGGGGTGTGAAATAAGGAGGTCCTGTGCAACAGGAACATTACGACTGGCAGATAGAGCCAAAAACACCCTGTATTTTATATCTCCATACATGAGACACTGGAGCCAGCCCACGTGTTCCAGCACCCCAGTGGAAAGCTGCTGGAGAGCCGCTTCCCCTCGCCGTCCCACTGCCCCTGCCTTCCCCATTCAGGCTCCATGTTTCTGCAGCTGAAGACACAAAAAAAAGTCCCGATGGTGAGAAATACTGGCTCCGACTCCAGGATTTCTATAAAATAATCCCTTAGCTCTAAATGAGCACAGCGATACTTCAAGGAGATGATGCGTTTATTAATTGTTTGACAAATGGAAACTACCTTGGACCGCTTAAGCGCTAATTATTAGGTGAAAGCGTTGCTCTCCTGGGACAACAATGTGCAAGTGGTGATTAAGCAGCCAGGGAAAATTGACTGGTTCTTAGAGCCAATACTGTTGAATTTGGCATTTTTTTCCTTAATTTAAGGGTATTTAATACCTCCATCAAACCGCACATCTGAGCAGCTCAGAGCAGCTCCCTTGTGCCCTCCTGTTCCTTTGCACGACCAAGTTATTCCATTTCAACCAGGCTGCAAAGGTTCATCCGACACGATGCCAGTACCCAGGACTCCTACCCTCCTCTAGCAGCAACTTCCACTGGCAGCAACCAAGAAAGGCAGAGCAGAAGCTGAAACACCATCCCAGAAGCACCTCTCACATCTACATCACACCAAGGGAAGAGCTAGCAATAACTCCAGAGCCCAGCATAGTTAAAACACTTATTGAACCCCTCTTCTGCATCCAAACCTTCACTGCATCCCCAGCTTCCGTCACATATCGACTTTAGCTCAGTGGTGATTTGGGCAAATCAAATCTAAGATCATAAAAGCAACTATGCAGTAAGCATGGTCTGCCTGCTGCTCCTCGTTTCTCTGCAGGGTTTCCAGGCACCATGGTCCCAGCTAGGCTCCAGCCTGAGATCCCTGGGGACAACAGAGGCCAAGCAAAGCCAACCAAGCAGCACGGTCCTTCGCCAGCAAACATGCACAACGGTGCTGGGAAGAGCACACTGGACAACTGGAAGCACCCACTTCCAAAGAGCAAGGCTGGTTTCATCTCAGGGCTCAAGCTGCAGCCCTGTCCTAGGCGCAGCTCACCCCTTCTCAGGTGAGGAGGTCTCCTTTCTCCTTGCCACTACGTTCACCATCAGCCAGCACAACACTGGTCCTCTCCACAAAGCAGCTGAACCTGCAAGAATTGTTCCTGAAGGGTCCAAGAGACAGGCAGGACCATGAGGGAAGGCAGGAACATCCCATCCCTCTCCTCTCCACCACGAGGAGTTACGATGTTGGTTCAGCTGCCAATGAAGCTGCAGGTTTGAGCCTCCCACCTTCCAAGAAAACATCCTAACCACGGAGCAATGGGCTGGACAGCAAAAACCACCGTTTATGGGGCCAAAAAACATAAGCAAGAAGAAAACAAACATTTTAGCTCAATTACTAATACCCTGGCCTGGGAAGTACTGCTCCAATCACTCATCCAGAAGTTCTCCATTTTCCAGCAGTTCTTGGGTGACACATGGAAACTCTCCTGGGAGCAGGGATGTGAACCAGGGCGCAAGAGCTTCATGCTTCCCCAGCCTTCAAACAAGAAGACTTCACTCCAAAGAAGTTGCAAACGAAGTTGAGGCAGGGGAGGGGACCGGACTGCGGCACAGGACATCACACTTGGGAGCAGACCCTGGGCAGCGCTGACTTTCTCAGCATGACATGCTTGTTTTAACGCTTGAATCCTACACCACCAGCTCCTTCAACCAGCAAGCACAGAGGCAAACATTAAGCGGTCTGTATCCACAGGGGTCCAGTTTAACCCCCCATGACAACAGCACTTCTGTGACACGATCCAGCCAAACCGATTCCCTCGGTAAGCTTGCTGCTCTACCTATTTCTGTATTCTGCCTATTTTGCATTTCCCTCTTTTATCATAGAACCATAGAATTATTTGGGTTGGAAAGGACCTTCACGATCATCTAGTTCCAACCCCCCTGCCATGGGCAGCGACACCTTCCACTACATCACATTGCTCAAAGCCTCATCCAACCTGGCCTTGAACACTTCCAGGGATGGGGCAGCCACAGCTTCTCTGGGCAACCTGTGCCAGTGCCTCATCACTCTCAGAAGGAAGAATTTCTTCCTTAGATCTCATTGAAATCTCCCCTCTTTCAGTTCAAAGCCATTGCCCCTTGTCCTTATCACTACACGCCCTTGTCAAAAGCCCCTCTCCAGCTTTCCTGTAGCCCCTTTAGGCACTGGAAGGCTGCTAGAAGGTCTCCCCAGAGCCTTCTCTTCTCGAGGCTGAACAACCCCAACTCTCTCAGCCTGTCTTCATAGCAGAGGTGCTTCGGCACTTGGATCATCTTCATGGCCTCCTCTGGTCCCACTCCAACAGCCCCATGTCCTTCTTATGTTGGGGGACCCAGAGCTGAACACAATACTGCAGTTACTTTTGTCCCTAAACTCTTCAGCGGAGCTACTGTGCTTTTAAAATGAGTTTCTCCTGATCCACCGCAGATCCGGCTGCAATTCAGCAGCAATCCCTGCGCAGCCGGAGGTTGCAAAGATCTGGCAAGAGCATTTTTTAGGATGCCAGGCAGAAGTTTCTGTGGCCTGAGGGTAGGGAGCCTTCCTGAACGTGGAGGAGGCTGCAATGCAAGGATTAAAGAACAGAAAAGACAGACAAGAAAGATAAATGCAGGAAGATCAAGGCAACCACACTGCATACTGACATCACTAACAGGTTTCAAGGTGTTCTATTAATTGCTTTTTTTTTTCTTAATTTCTACATTAGCTAATACACCAAGTATGGAAAAAAGAAAAAAACGTTTAATTCTTGGCCCCACTCGTACCTTTCCACGCAACCCCAGCCAAACTGCTGAGTTTCTTTGCATTTCCTGTAAAACAGGCTCCAGACGACCTGTTTCATAAACGCTGGATGACAGCTGTGGGGCACCATCCAAAACACCAAAATTGGGCTCAGAAACCCAACAGATAACTCAGTGTCCAGGCTGGCACCTGCAACCACTCAGCGCAGTCGCAACCGCAGTATTAGACGTGTCTAGTGCAACTTATAGTAAACCCTTAATTTTGATGATTAACCCATCCAGGGATTAACTGGAGAGAGACCTACACGCTGAAATTAGTTATTTCTGTATGAATATAATATATGAAGCATATACACACATGCACGAGGCTTGGGGCCAGCTGAGCTTTGCATACCCTGTTACTGTTACCATCTGTAGCTTTCCTGCACGGGTCAGCAAAATTTGTACAGAAAAAAAAAAAAAAAAAAGAGCGCACAGCAAGCCCCCTCCAATTATTTTTGAGGCAGCTGTTTCCAAATGCACCTTTCGAGCAAGATCCGGACCCTCAGTAGCCCCAGGGTTTTGCTCATCTCCTCCCTCCAGCCAGCCCAAAAGGGCCAGCGCCAGCCTTGGCACTGCCAGGACACATTCCCAGGGTGTCACAAACAGCACACGGCCAGGCGCCGTGTTTAACCATCTGCTGGCCGTGGTGCCAGTGTCCCCAGGCAGGCCTGCTCAGACGAGGAACCCAGCTGAGGAGTGGATGCATTACAGCCAGCCAGCTCGGACGTGAAAAAACCCACGTCCAGCTGCCTGGGGTGGAGCTGCATGGAGCGTCTCCCAGCCAGCTCAGCCCAGTACCCTGGTCATCTGCTGCAGGG